TGTTAGCGATCACGTATCGCTCTTCTCTTCCATTTTGAAAGAATGTTATCTGCAATAACATTCTTTCCCTTTTCGTTTTGTTTTTCTTTTCGTGGGAGAGTCACTTGCTCTTTCAACTCGAATAAACGTAGTTATTCTCGTTGAGTCTCTCCTTTTCCTTGATGGTGGATTTGATTTGGATATAGAGAGCTCACAGGAATAGTTCTTGTCTTTATTGTGGAACGACAACAAGGAAACAAACATACTTGATCTTTTAATTCTAATTGTTTTAGTAACTGAATAAGTGAGCAATGATCAGGATCTAAAAGCAAATACGATTTGATCGTTTTTTTGTTGAAAAAAAATGTACGTGCATCTACCAGTTTCATTTAATTTATCAAATAAGTATTTTAACTTTGACTTATCAAAATCAAACATATTCCGTGAGTTGCAACTACCAAAATTAACTAATATATCATCTTCCATGAACACTTCGTTTTGTGAACCTAATTTGAAATAAAATAAAGTAATTGAATAAGTTTTCCCTTTGATATTTGTGATTTTGCCGATTTTAAAACCAACTAAATTGTCATCGTAGGTAGACTAGAATGATGACAAAAAACTTCAATGACACACTCACCATCGCTTTGAAGTGCAACAATGTCAAGAATGGAATTTTGTACAATACTTGATTCATGGACGTTTTCACCAAGACAACTATCTACATTTGTTGTTGACGAATACATTATCGAGGAAGAAGATCCCAGGTTATTATGGCATGGTCGGTTCCGGCGGCAAGGAACCTGCCGGAATCGGCGAAAACTATGCCGGAATCGAGAAGAGCTATACCGGATCCGACTCAGATTTCAATGGATCCAGTCGCCGGAATGATCGACCTGGGATAGAACTGAAACTAAAGCATACATTATTTGAACAATTGATCTAATCGATGATTGGTTACTTTAGAGTCTGTTTGATCGATCATTCGAAAAATATTCTATTGATTCCTATTTACGTAGTAAACACACCACTTCTGCCAGCATTCTCAAAAAAATAGTATCGGGAATATTATTTATCTAATTGCCAATCACAAAATGAAAGAGAACGCTAGTTATCGGGACCGTTTCAATAGTAGATGAAAAATTCACAGGAAAAGCACGGTTATGGAGAGACTGTTTCTGTTCTTCGATTCACATTGTTGATTATTCTCGGATGATTTGTTTAGTAAAAGAATGATCGACTAAGAAATACATTTAGTTATTATAGTGAACATAATGATAATACTGCTAATACGACTTGTAATTATCGGTGTGAAGCTAGCACGAGATAAGGAAAAATCATAAGTCATCTGTTCAAATGAATTCCTGACTGTAGAAATAAGTTCATTCGACGCAAAATTTAATTCTCCATCGAACGGTGTCGTTCTTATCGATGGGAAAACGACTGAGAAGATTCTATTTAGATTTTTTCCATCCATACACAAACGTACAGAAAAATCTGTATAAAATTTTCTCAGTCGTTTTCCGGTCGATAAGAACGACACCGTTCGATGCAGAATTAAATTCTACGCCGAATGAGCTTATTTCTACAGTCAATAATTCATTTGAACAGAAGATTTTTATGATTTTGCCTTATCTGGTGCTAGCTTCTCACCAATCTCCTAATTAGCTTTGTAATGCTCTCTGTAGTGATATCAGATATAATCTTTGTAAATACGATGGCCTCAAATATGATCGTGACAAAAATCGATGATGAATGAGGTAGCATAAAGAGAATAGAAATCACTGGACGTCACCAGTTTTTCGCCTAGTACACGCAATTCTGTACCATATTCGAATGTCTTTGAACTGACAACTAGTGAACTAAAATGTTGCGCACATTTTTCAGTCATGCATCTTCTCTTTTGCAAATCATGTGTTGTATTCGCGCATGATCTAATATCTTGTCCGTACGCTGACGCAATCTTTGCTGCCGTAGATATCTATAAGGTCGGTCCAACAGTTCAAGCCCGCTCGACGAAGATATTTTCTCATGAGATGCCTAATTCGACTTATATTATAAGTCGAACCCCGACAGGCTAGTATCAATTCGAATATAAATAGATATCTATATCACACTTATAACAAATGAGTAGATAGGAATAGAAATAGATTTAGTTTCAGTTATACATATATACCCTCACACCCTCCTTTCAGTCGAGGGAATAAGGGAAACAACAAAAAATACGTCACGTTTAGTGTTTTGATTTTCTTTGAAGGAACTCGAGGTACTTTTGATCCTAGTAGATAAAGAAAATTGTTCGCAATCGAACTATGCTTTTGCATACGTGTGGCGCCCTAAAATTGATCTATTGGTTATTGATTCAATGGGTCATCGAACATAAGGGAGGAAGGTATATATAATATGAACCGAGAACAAGAAATGACCATTGATAAACAGCAATAGGTTTGTTTAATGATCAGTGTAGAAAAGAGAGAAAGCAACCAAGACTATATTGCATAATTGACACATAGATTCTTTTGAAATGGCCATAGACTTGGAATGTGTGAGTTGTGTTCGTCGATATTTTTTCTTGTTAATCTTACTACTCATGTTTTAGTTCAACCAACAGATGGAAAGAGCTCGTTTGTACGTTCAGTATATCGTACAATTACTTGAAGATGCTGGAAAGATAGCGTCGCCATACGATGAAAGTCATGCTTTAAAAGTCGTCAAGTTGATCTTACATAAGTTGTCCTATAGTGGAGAAAAAGTAAGTTTTCGCTAATTTTTTTTAAATAAAAATAATATTACAATTTGTTTCCCTAAGACGCCAGGTGAATTTCTTGCTGAGACTCATTCGTTTTTTCATAATGTTCAAACAAATGAACAATTAATATCGATGATAATAAAGGTAAGCAGTATCGATAGAATTTCGTTGTACAGGTTTGTTTTTGTTTTAGTCTCATTCTCTTGTAACTGTTATTGATACAGATAAGGGTAAATATATTTTTTTCTACTCACAAACAAATCGCTATCTTTATTTATTATATTTTGAAGATTCAACTGGATGGTTGCATTGAGGACGAGGGTGTGAATAATTAGTAAATCTACTGACAATAAGCAAAACTACTGATTTACGTTTAAATTTCACATTTTCACTTCTCAATCATTTCAAACAAGAAGACGCTTTACAACATGCTTTTTCTCAAATATTGTTTTCAAACCTTTCTCTACTATTTTATGTTTCATGTGTTGTGTAGTGAGTATCGAAATTAAGAACATTTTCCTCAACATGAAAACATTCACTAGTCGAATCTACACCGCTTATTATTCAATTAATTGCATTTTTATTTTTATACAATTTGTTCCAGACAATCAGAACTACACACTTTTCTCTTGATTGGAAAACATATTCTAAACTACATAATACAGAAAAACAAGAAACTCAATGAAACTATCTGACATGTTATGATAAACGATCGAGCTTTCGTTTTGGCGTCGTAGGAGTCGAAACCCGTCGAGAAGAATTGATTTCCATCGGTTTCAAACGTCGTTCAATGTCAGTGAGCACAGGCTAAACACACAAAAATACGAACACTCAAAACTTCATTGTTGAAATCTTACCATGAGATACTTTTTCCATGCTAAATGCTCTTCTTCATCATAATCATCTTCAGTCTGTCCATTCGTTTCGGTAACATTTGGAAAGTTCTCTTTCAGTATACGATACGATGCCAATGTTTTGATATTCAATTTGCTGAGGCAAAAAGCGATGTTTCCTCGTTTCCGATCATCACCACTAAAAGTACAGAGAATAGAGAGCGGTAAGTCAATGAGGTTAGTTTATACCACGCTTGTTTGAATTGTCTACACAATCGTTTGACTAAAATCTCACAATGACGATCGTTTTTGATATATGAAAACAAATGCGAAATAATTTGTTGAAAACTATCCTTTGAACATATGGTGTTCATTGATAAACGTGATATAATATCAGGCAAAACATTGAATAAAGCCATGCCACGTTGTCGTAATGATAGTTCATCGAAGAAATGTTGAGCAATACTTGATATTGGTGTGTGCGAATGAAATAAACATAGTGCTATTTCACTGATATAGCCACGAACCTGAATGCAATGCAACTTTCAGTGCGAAGGAACAATTCTTCGTCTTCTCTTAACTTACTTTGATCATTTCTCGCAAGATGAGTATCGCAATTGTACATAAGGCTGTTTCACCCACATTCAAATCTTTATCATGAATTTGTGCATAGAATTGTGGTGTAAATGGTTCGATAATATTCGGATGTCTAGATCGAAATCCACGTGTTTATCAAAGAGCGACGTACAGTTGACAGACTTACCGAAGAAGTAAATCGCCAAGTGAAACAATCAGTGCTGAACGTACAGATGAGTATGGACACAACTTTGCGATTTCAAAAATTCGATCGACATTCTTCGCACATAGACCTGGTGATACGTACATCATTCGAGTACATGTTAAAATACTTGTTAATACAAGATTTTCGTCATACAAGGAATGATCTTCATGAATGAACTAAAAACAAATCGTTGGATACTGCGTAGATTGAGATTTATTCTTACCGATTCCATCCATTTATCAATCGAAAAGAAAAGTGAATTCGATTGAAACAATTCTTGTTCGAGATGACTGAGATCAGAATGTTGTTGTTGCATAGAATGATTGTCTTTTTCGTGATTATCGTCTGGATGAGGATTTTCTTCATCTTCGTCATCGAATAACTGCCGCGAAACCGACGATGATGTTTCACTTTCGATATCATTTTCATCCTCGTTAGGTGTAACATGAGGTTTTTCTTTTTTGATCTTTTTTATCGATGATAAACTTGTACTTTCATATTTTTGTACTTGATGACTTAAAAATGCATTCACCGATGCTAATAGTCGAATAAGTTTTGTTCGCCATGACGCATCGGTTAGTTTCGCTTGGTAATCACAGTTTTCTAAAGGCCAATTCAACTCATCAGATAAATGACGAAGGAATTTCATTATAAAATCATTCGATGACAAATGAGTGGGTTCTCTAAGGTAGACAATGTTGAAAATCTGCTTCATACAATTCACCCACGACTGATGATTACTGGATTCAACAGGTGAGTCCGACAATCTTTTGATCATTAAGTCATAAAATTCACTGGGAATTTCATGGAATGATTTGATAGTCAATAGATTTGTGATAATTTGCATTTGATAGTGGAAATAATCGAGACTATTTCGATTCATTTGATGTATGAGACTTTGAATAATCGAAGGTAAGCGTGATGATAAACGATGTTTTGTGTCGTGTGGGATAACGAAAGAGATTAGCTGTAAAAATGAATTCTGTCGTTGTTGAATTTGTTTGAAAAATTCATCCGGTACATGTTTTTTTGACGATTCAGTTGTTAATTTCAAATAGTATTCAACAAGAACCTCGATAAACGAGAAGAAATTCATGCTTGTCGATGTTGATTCACCAAGAAGTTGTTTGAGGATATGTTCAAACGTTAACGTTAGATTCAGATCGATTTGATCGAGAAGTTTCTCAATGATTCGTTTGGATGAGATTCTAAAAGAAACACAAGACATTCTTCACTTCTAACAGAACATTTTCTTACTTTTCATCTGTACTCTCTTCGTCAATTTTCAAACATATTCGTTTGAATGCATTGATAACTGCATTGGAAATATTCTTATCATTCGACCAAATCAAGGAAAACAAATGTTTTTCAAGTTTTTTATAAATATTTGATTGACATTCGAATGTTGACCACTAATTTACAAAATACAAGTGCCAAGTTATCTCAAGATTAGCAAATTTCTTACCAAAACAAGAAAATCGATAATTTCGAGAACATCACTCGTCACTTTCGAGCTGAGCAGATAAAAAGCATCTTTAGCTAAAAATCTTCGTAAATGATTACAAAAATCCGTGGCATTGTGCAAATAAGTTCTACAAAAATAACAACTTCAAATCCGAGATTAATCATTAAATTTGTCTCCTACACAAGCTTGGATTGTTTAACCATATTATCAAACAATCGTTTTGCTTTTTCTGTCGGTTCTTCATCATCAACCACATCATTGTTGATGTTGATTGCCAAACAAGTATTCAGTCGACTTTGTAATTGCATCAATTTACTCATTTCTGCATTATAATGTTCAAATGATGCTAAGGATTCATCAGCTGAATACATCGCACAAACCCGTTGTTGTTGTTCAACAACACGTTCGAATAAAAGATGTTGATTATCCAAATCATTTTCTTTGTCATTATCAGTAATCTTATCGATATCGATCGGAACGTTCTCCAACTTCAATGTCTGTCCCAAGAGTTTTTGCAATTGAACTAATTTATTCATTTCTGTATTGTATTCGTCCAGCATAGTATCAATTGGAAGAAACTACGAGAAAACAATCAACGATAAAGTTACTTTCTCTATCAGACTTCTTACCCGATCGGTGTACGGATTAAACTTTAGTAGTTTGGTTGCTAATTGAATGGCATGTTTCCTGACAATACATGAAGTGTCATTCATTCGCTCGATTGTTGCTTGTGTTAGATGGCAATAAAATTTAATTGGGATTAGTTTCGCTTCAACTAAGTTCATACAGAGACCGATGGCATGTGAACGAACGTGGACATTAGAATCCAGAAAATATTGATCGATGATTAAGAAAAATAATTCGCCACGGAGTTCTTTGTACTCGGGTAAAGATGAGCAGTAGCGAATGATGTTGACACAAACATTCAATAGACAATTACGCATTTGTAGACAATCGCTATCGAATAAATCGAGTAAACGATTGATGTAAATTATCAAGTGATCGGATATGTGAATGGATAATTCATCGAGTAGTTTAGCCATTGTACGAGAACTGTTTGTTTCAGATTGAGCATTAGCGACGGAAGTGTTTGATCGAGAAGAGCTTATCGGTGTTGATAATTGAACACCCGAAAATGAAAGGCAAAGATGACAAATATCGCTAAAAACATCGAATTTTTATTTCTTCTGTTGATAATTTTATATCTTACTTGATGATTCGTTCTAGTAGAGTGTCCGTTCGAAAATGTTTGACATGACACACGATAATTGCGGAGAAGATTGTTGCGGTATGCTCTTGAATTTGTAACATTTGAATCATCTTCATACTTGTCTCTGTAAAATTGAAAGAATAAGGTTTTATATGAAGATACATTCGCTCGACAACTACCTTCTTCACTACGAAATTGTCCAATCGTCACTGCTAAGATAAAAGATAGATAATCTTTCACTGTTCTCGCTCGTGAGGAGAATTGATTATTTCGAATAATTGTCAGACAAACATCAACAATGGTACTAAAATATTCGAATGTAATCAAGACTTATCGAAGAAGAGTCACAATCATACGTTCCGATTTGTTGATCTTCTAATCTTTCAGTTTCATGCCAGAATTGTCGAAGATCAAGTTTGATAAAATTCGTGAAGAGAAGAAGTATTTCATCTCGTTCATTTATATACCAATCGATTTGACACGTTTGATTAGATTTCTTTTGTTTTTTCGCTGGACTTCCAAGATGCTGTTGATCATTCCCAGTTATCAAATGCTCGAGAACAAGTAAATATCGACAAAGAAGGTCGAGTGAATAGAGAATCATCTGACGATGAACATTATCGATATTGGCTTTCTGATGAGAACTGATCGAATCAATTTCACCTTGTATCGCTACAAAACCAAACAAATCGAACATTTCATATTGATCTTCAGAAAATAGTTACCATCTTTGAGAAGATTACTGAATACTCTTCGAATGTCATGTGACCGTTCAACATGTCTAGAAACATAGTATAGAGACAGTCTTTGGATAAAAACAAAACACGTACATGATAAGATCATCCGCGATTGCACTTAACTTTGATAGTACGAACGAAGGATCACTATACTTGTTCAATTGACATTCTGAAATAAAGAAAAACTTTCGACGCGTGAGATCAGTTTTTACACTTACCTTTAAATAATACATTTAGCTCTTCTTTGCTAATAACCATGACTATTTAATAGACAATATTTACTTCTAAAGCAAACGAACGCGCCATTTTTTAGTTCTTTGTATATTTCAATGGAGAAATCGAAAATTAAACAACGCTCGAGTTTAACGATAACTTCGTCGAATAAGAGTATTGCCAATACTAAGAACACCGCGTCTCAAGTGATTCATTTCGGTTGTCAACTACATTCCGGAACTGAATTATGGAATACCTCCTATTTTCTTTCGATTCTTTTCGAACTTCTCGATGAATACAAAGACAAGACAAATGAAGAATCTCGTTTAACCGCTTTCATCCTTTGTCGTCTTGATGAAATTCATTTCAACAGACGAATTCCCATCAAACTAATCATCGAAATACTAAAACACTTTACAAACATTCGAATGAAAATTCTTCTTCTACTAGAATTGTTAAGTATTTCAGAGCCGATCGACTGTCCTCGAGCACTTATGTTACTATGGCAGTTCTCTGCGTATGGTTATCTGACATTATTCTACGTTTTGGATCGACTAAAATTTTCGATTACTGATAAAGACCTCGAATGGAAATCATTATTAACAATTTTCGAGCCATTGGAAAATAAGAAACATGCGGCATATATTCTATTAGACAAAACAAACTTTTACAAACCAAATCAAGCAACGATCGTTTTTGGAGCTAAAAAACTTACACGATATTTTTAATTTGACCGTATCGTTCCGTTCATATTATCATTGTCATTCATTCCTTATCCTTAACCGTCATTGGATTCTTCTCTAAAATGGCATGAATCAGCGATAATCGACAGATGTCGCTTGTAGACCGAGACATTTTTTTCCACATTCTTCTGAGTCTGTTCTTTTCGTCCTTTTTTTGTGAACGGGTACGTCACCCATCTATATTTGTTAAGCTGACATAGCTTTTATTTCATTCGTCATCTGTGAATGTACCGACATATATCGACGAGATGCATCGTCATGCTTACGTTGCACTAAAAGTATCACTTCAAATAAGCGTACTACTTTGCGCAATAGAACACATTCATTATCCAGTTTATTCACAAGCAAACATGTCGCAAACCGATCTGCCCGTAATCTATGTCACACACGGAGCGTAAGAAAAAGAAATTTCCTAATTGAAAACTAATCTGTCTTTTCTATTTTTAGTGGTCCGATGATGTTTCTCGATTCACCAGCAATTCCAGTGTTCGGCGAAGTCGGTCGACGTAGTCCAGCAGCTCAATGGTATAGTCAATTGTCGAAACAATTAGCTTTACCAACAGTACCAAAAGCTATTCTCGTTGTTACAGCTCATTGGGAAACCGCAAATAGTGTCCATATTAGTGCCAAAGAAAAGTACACGGAGCTCCTCTATGATTATTACGGATTTCCACCCGAAGCATATGAAATTCAATACAATCCACCCGGTGATGTCAATCTGTCTAAACGTATTAAATCACTACTTGATCAAGCTGGTATCTCAGCTAAACTCGATGATAAGAGAAATTTCGATCACGGTGTTTTCATTCCACTGAAATTGATCTATCCTGATGCCAATATTCCTGTTGTTGCTATTTCCGTTCTTAAAAGTTTATCGCCTACTGAACATTTAGCTATTGGTAGAGCTCTTGCACCATTACGAAAAGAAGGAGTGTTCATTATTGGTTCTGGCTCATCTGTACATGGATTTGAAGTAAATGCAAAGCAATCACATGCATTTATGACGGAATTAAAGAAAGTGCTCATTGAAGATAATCCACAAGATCGTGAAAAGGCATTGATGAACTGGGACAAAGTTTTACCATTTGCACGAATAAATCATCCACGTGAAGAACATCTCATACCGTTACATGTGATTGTTGGTGCAGCTGGTTCAGATCGCGGACAATTATTAAATCCCAACGTGACAGAGGCACAGGCGTCTTTTAAATTTGGTATTTAAAATTTGATTAGTTGCATTTTTCTTTCGTTTAAAAGTTGTTAATAAATATTTTCATACATTTTCTCTGTACATCTTTATCTGATTATGAAGAAAGAAAAAAAGGTAGTTCGATAGAATTAATTTTCGCTACCAAAGACACCTCTATCCACAATAAAATAATTACATCGATTTGTTCTCGGTATATGATAACAATAATCAATCGCTAATGAACGCAAATAAACAACATTCGTTTTAATACTTGTCATTGCTTTTCGCTCATCAAAGACAACTTGAGACTGCTGAGAATCAGGATGATGTTCTTCAATATTTTCAGTTTTACTTAATTGTATACGACAGTGGACAAGAAATGCCCATGTTAATCCTAATGCAGGACCTAATTTCATCGATTGAGGTAATAGAGAGAAACATGTATTCTGTGCGAATTGAGTTTGTACCTAAAGAAAATAGAGTAGATCTTCTATGACGAGAAAATGATCAAAATCGATTACTTGATTAACACACACGATAGCGAGGTTATATCGCTGACATAATG